AAGGTGCGGTGGATATTCAATATCAACCTCTAAAATAAAACCAGTAGGAGCGTTGTCAGGAATAGATAATATTACAGCTGGATCATTGAATTTCTCCATTTCATAACCCTCCACCCATCTAAAATCTTTTTCAGGGAGACACTCAGTCATAACTGTACCATATAAATTATTTACATCCAAATAATAGATATTTACCTCTGGTTTGGCACTATTATAATTGGGAGCATCTTCATTATTTGCTACCGAGTGTCTGTTTGAGCACTGAGTAAGCCCTCCCCGAATACCATTTTTGCAGAAATTGTACATGTCTATATCTCTGAGTAGCTCAAGTTCGACTTTAGTACATAGTAGCATTGCATCCCAAGATAGAGATGGTGCTGTGAGATATTGACAAGGGTCCAGTTCGTGAATTCGCATACATAAGCTCCTGAAATTTTCAAATACGTCTGCTAAAAGCAAGACATCAGCTTTTAAGTACAAATCCATGTAGTCTTGCATAGTTTGACATCGAAAATGTGACCAAACATTTGTTGCATGCCTATAATCGTCTGACGAGCATTCAGTATCTGTCAACTTATTATAAAATTGGTCTATAGGGGGAAGTTGTTTCTCCTTCAATTTTTCAAATGATGAAATATATTCGTAGGGAAATACTCCTTTCCTAGTCATAAGTTCGAATGCTTCATCATCAGGAAAATGAGATCTGACAGCAACAAAAGAATCTCGAGATAAATTCCTTGCTAATTTATCCAAACTAGTAGGCATAAATCGAAAACTATCTAAGAAACGATGCTCTAATCTATTCATTTTCTTTTTTTTCACTTTTTTGCCCTCACTTTCCTCTTCTTGCTGGAATTCCTCATCATCTTCCTCACTCGAATCTTCTTCTTCTCCTACAACAACTGTACTTTTTAAAGAACTAGAGTCGGTTGACTCGTTATCCATATTAATGAAATAAGACATTGAAATATATTTTTCTTTGTTTTGAGGTATGACTCTTATTTCACCTCCAAATTCAACTAACTCTTTAAAGAAGAGGTGACAGTCGTACGAAGAAAAATTGTGGAAATATATTGGAATAAATTTAGGTAGATGATATTGCAGATTGCAATGGTTATGTACCGCACCTCGATATTGCCCCGTTAAGTGACAATGATCTTTCACCCTATCGTTACCTAAAATATCGCCACATATACGACAATTTATATCCCTAAGAAAGGCTGTCTCTTCTTCGGGTGTTAGAGTATTCATAGGTTTCGTTTTGGTTAGGTAACTATCATACAAAAATTTACAATCCTGAATTAGTTCTTTCAGAAAAACATTTGCTGCGTCGGGACCACTATATATAAATAACTTATTTAAATTTTCATTAAAACTACATTTAATAAAATAACTAAAAGCACATGGAATATGCTTCTTTACCTTTTCCGTTTTTTTACTCGCCCCATTGTTCTCATCTTCCGGCACGTCTTCCAGTATGCTCTCGGAGTCAGCATAAATTACGAAAGGCACCTTTTCCTTTTTCTTGTGATTGATGAACTTCAATACAGCCTCCTTTTTGTTTGGCAGAGTACAGACTACGTTTCCACACTGCTTTTTGTGAGTCATACATTTATTTTCATCGTGGAAACATTGTAGACATCCATAACAAAAATAAGCTTTCTCCTTATGACTTGTGAATTGAGACCGCATAAGACTGAAAAAAAAAAGAACAAATACATGATTATTAGAATATGGTTTTGATTGATAAGTTTTGTTTATAATTACCAAGACATATCCATAACCAAAATGTAATGGAAATTTTCTTCGTTGTGCAGCAATATTAAATTAATGTGATTGCTTTTCGTCTCCTTTGTTAAGTAATATGGACCAACGACCGACTTGTTTTCATAACCGAAAACATTTACGCTAATCTCTGGGTTGTTCATTTCAAATTTTTTATATATTTAAGACCCAATGGGAAATTTAATTGTTCGAAATTTAGCGATATTCCAGACTGCAGAATAATGACATCTTGGTGTATGTCTACGTTATATGAAGAGGTTATACTCGGATCTCCATATGCAGTTTCCCCCAATGCAACAACCATACACCACTTAAAACAAAAGTCATCATAGTTTTTGATGTTAAGGCACGCACCCTTCTTGTTGCTTAATGATTTCGGAGTTGGAATATAATGTGAGCCACGTGTTAAGTTGGCTCTCAACACATTTATGTCAAGTTTTAAAAGTTTCTCCAGGGCCCAATTAGAGCCTCTTTCTTGGAACTCTTCTGATTTAGCTATAATTTCCACACAGTGGTTGAAAACGACCTCTTCCAAATCATCTCCCAGGGTTAATAGCGTTGTTTTTGAAATATGATTAAATATATTTTCAATAGTTAACTCTTTGGAAGTTGAAGGTCCATCTTTTTCATTGTTTGGTTTCACATACAGTCCTTGGAGTTCCATATTAAATTTTATGAGCGTTTTACCGTTTAACTCATTTTTCAAGGTTTTAATTATTAATTCTTTTGAAGCATTAAGAAAATCGATCGGGTACAAAATGTCTTTATTGTTTTGTATCTCATAGCTGAGTATATTTTTGTTAAATGCACTTTTAACAATTTTTATGTCAGAATCCAGATTTTTTCTCACGGTGGATCGATGTTCTTCGCTACGAACGTGTGATCGTATATTATTCACTATTTTATCACAATCACCACAAAACTTTTCCACCTTCACAGCTGATTTATTTTCATGCTGCTGCTTTAGTTTTTCTTGTTGTTGATCACGATTTTGTTTCATTACATGCTCATCTCCATGATGGTTCTCTAAGTGCAATTCTAAATCGTTTACACTTTCACATAAAACATCACAAAACATACAATGCTTTTTCATATGTTTCACAAATTCACTTTTTTCCTTGTAATAAAGGCTGCATGACCAACAAATTTTTTGAGACATTATAAAAACTTTTTTAAAAATATTAAGAAACGATGCTTATTAATCTGTGACTTGTTGAGTACTGAAATTTCTTCCAATCCAATCAATACATTATTGACTACATTTTGTAAACAAATAGAAATTCTGTGATTGAAGCAGAATTTGTCATGAAACTCTGCAACAACGCTTCCCCCCAAATTCTCATATCCATTTCACAGAAATCCAATTGTTAGTTAATGTAAACAATGGTGTTTCCTTCTTCAAATCCCTTCAATCTTCAATACCGAATTGATGCAGGGTTTGTCATGAAACTCTTTCAGTTTCAATTCTCTCAAATTGCTACATAATGTAAACAAATTCTTCATCGACAAAACTATCAAAAAGCGATCGATATAATGTATCAAAATGCCTGTCCACACAAGAAGAATTTGCTTTGATTGGCTACAGCAGCATTTTTTTAGTGTGTATATGCTACAACATTAATTGGTGGTTAGATGTCGCCTATATCGTTTCGAGGGAAATGACTGGAGAGCCATCTGGACAAAATAATAGAACACACATCTTCTTGTTGACTATGATACTAACCAAATTTGTCTCTGCTATATTCACTTCTCATATGGTGGATCTCTCTAGCCCCATTCGATATGATCATATTTCAATAGTTTTGGAGTGTGTCTATGCTACAACATAATTTATGGATAGTATGGATGGAACTCACCGTTAGATGTCGCCTATATCGTTTCGATGGGAATAACTGAACATTTTTGAGTCGCTAAAATTATAGACAAATTAAAACAAGTACAACGAAAAGTTAGTTTTGTCTTTTTATCTCATCATGTTTTGCATAGCCAACATGCTGATTTTCGTGTTCAACCCACTCGACTTCGTTATCGTTTTTCAAGAATTTCACTTGATTATTCCGGAATTTTTCGATGTCATTTCTTTGTCTATATTTTCATTTATATTTTCATCTATGCTGAAATTAAAACCCCTGAAATATCAATAATTGCAGCATATTTGTCAATTGAAACTCTTCTATAATATATCACATTTATTGAAGTCGATTTCTTGAAATATATGTTTTCAAATAAATTAATAAGCACATTTGACTGCAGTAATCAGCATGTTGACTATATAAAAGCATTCTGAGAGCCATCTAGATAAAATGATTTTCTTCGATACTTACCTCTTTCAGATGTGTTTCTGCTATATTCACTTCTCACATGGTGAATCTCTTTAGCCCCACTCGATATGATCATAATACATTTTTTTTTTTTTCGGAGGGTGTCTCTGCTAATGGTGAATATTAAAACTTGAAATGTCACCATCCCATACACAGTTTTGGATCGTGTCTGCGCTAAACTTAGCGCCATCTAGTAGTTCATATTAAAACTAGCAACGCCAACAGCCCCAATAAAATTTGACGTGGTACAATTCAAAAGACAACATCCCCAATATAATTTGCCGTGGTACAATTCAAACGACAACATCCCCAATATAATTCACCGTGGTACATTTCAAAAGACAACATCCCCAATATATTTCACCGTGGTACATTTCAAAAGACAACATCCCCAATATATTTCACCGTGGTACATTTCAAAAGACAACATCCCCAATATATTTCACCGTGGAGAATTTACCCTAATCAACATCCCCAATAGAATTTGCCGTGGTACAATTCCCAAGACAACATCCCCATTAAAATTCACCGTGGTGAATTTACCCAAATCAACATCCCCAATAGAATTTGCCGTGATAAATCGTGGTGAATTCCCAACATCCCCATAAGCACACTACTGTGGTGTCCTTTGGTTTTACAATGGCCAATTTGAAGGTTCCAGAAGAGGGTCCGACATTTTCCCCTCAAAAACTTCTAGAGGATATTAATTTGGAAAGAAAAATCAATTCTTTGCTGGTGGTTCGGGAGGAGAACCAAAAATCCTTGGAGCCCATAATCCAGGACCTTTATGAATTATCCTGGCCCATTACATTGCTAACAAAATCTCAAGGAGATTTTCTCTATCGGATGCACCACAACCGGGAAGTATTGGCTATGCTTTTGTTGACCCAGAAAATGCAGGAGGAGGTGATGAAAATTTTGGCGGATGCTTTAAATTTTCTACGTGAGACAAGAATTGTGGTTGTGGCTGTGGATGTGTTGGACCAGAGGGAGTTCAGAGGAGAGTTATTGGCATCCTGTAAAGGTTACAACATGACCAATGTGTTGCTGAGTTTTGGGTACTCTGCTGAGAACCCAGGCAACTCGGAGAGTACTTTATTTTATGCCCTCAAACCCTATCCGGAATATTATTGGACCTCCTTCAGTCCCGGAGATATTGAGTTGAAAAACCTAAAATATTTCCCCCAACATTGGCGTAACTTCCGCAACAAGACCCTACTAACCTACACCGATAGGGCTTCCCTGAGATCCCTGTATTATTTGGACGCCATTAAAAATAAATGGCTTTGTACCCCGATTTGTAATGCTTTTCGCAGAACACTTCAATGCCACCCTGAAAATGGCCTTCCCCCTGGACATGGAGAATCCCAAACACTATACGGCGATACTAAAAGACATGGTGGAAACCAATCTGCTGGACATACCAATGACAATGCACACGAATCCCGACTATGACAGATGGTTCAACATGACCGATGCCTATCAGCATGACCATGGCATGCTAATTGTACCCTGTGCCCAGGCTCTGAGCATACGTGAGGTCTATGCCATCATCTTGAATTGGACCTTCCTGGGTTCCGTCATTCTCTGCACGGTGATTTTTTCCTTACTTCAATCCCTTATCGATTATCTCTTTGATGGCCTCTTGGATCTCTCCAGATTACTGCTAAGTGAGAGAATATTTCCTGCCGTGTTGGGGCAAGAATTTACCCCACCCCCTAAGCCGCCAAGGAGAATCTTAAAATTTATCTACCTCCTTCTCTTCATTGCCGGCCTCTTTCTCAACACCCTGTTCTCGACAAATGTCAGTACCCTGCTGACCAGTCCACCCAAACATCGTCAGCTGAAAAGCATCCAGGATATAATGGAGTCATCGGTGAAAATTCTTCTCCATGATGCCGAGGCCTATGCCATGAGATATCGAATCGTAGACTATCTTCCGGCTGTGATCACCACCAGCAACTACACCTATCTGGATAGCCTACGCACGGATTATAACACCTCCTATAGCTACTATAGCTCCTCAACGGGTTGGGAAAAGGATACACGCCGACAACAATACCTGTCCCATAAACACTTCTGTACCTATGACGGCTTGATTCTCTATCCCTATATGCCTTGGGGCATCCCCCTGCAACAGAACTCCCCCTACAGGGAGGGACTCAATTATCTACTGCATTGGGTTCATGCTTTTGGTTTTATGGAATACTGGTCGGATAGCGCTTTTTGGGATCTGCTGAAATTGAAACAGGTATCGATACGTGATCCATATGTGGAGCCAGGACCACAGCCTTTAACAGCAAATGATTTATTCTGGACCTGGATGATATTGATTGGGGGATTGGTGGCCAGTGGGATAATATTTCTTATGGAGATTTTATATGATCGGAAACATGGAGGTCAAAGGGCAAAATTTAATTACTATTAATAATTTTATTTATATTGTAATAAATATTTTAAAAATGTAGAAAAAATGTATTTAAAAAATATTTTTAAAAAATCCACGTTTATAGATAGGCCTTGAAAAAATATTTTTTAAAAAATCCACGTTTATAGATAGGCCTTGAAAAAATATTTTTTAAAAAATCCACGTTTATAGATAGGTCTTGAAAAAATATTTTTTAAAAAATCCACGTTTATAGATAGGCCTTGAAAAAATATTTTTTAAAAAATCCACGTTTGTTAATAGACCTTGAAAAAATATTTTTAAAAAATCCACGCTTATTGATAGCCTTGAAAAACTATTTTTAAAAAATCCACGTTTGTTAATAGCCCTTGAAAAAATATTTTTAAAAAATCCACGTTTATAGATAGGCCTTGAAAAAATATTTTTAAAAAATCCACGTTCATAGATTGACTTTGAAAAAATATATTTAAAAAAATCCACGACTATTATAGGCCTTGAAAAAATATTTTTAAAAAATCAATGTTTATAGATAGGTCTTGAAAAAAATATTTTTAAAAAAATCCACGACTATTATAGGCCTTGAAAAAATATTTTTAAAAAATCAATGTTTATAGATAGGCCTTGAAGAAGTATTTTTAAAAAATCCACGTTTATATATAGGTCTTGAAAAAATATTTTTAAAAAAATCCACGTTTATAGATAGGGCTTGAAAAAATATTTTTAAAAAATCCACGTTTATAGATAGGCCTTGAAAAAATATTTTTAAAAAATTCACGTTTATAGATAGGCCTTGAAAAAATATTTTTAAAAAATCCACGTTTATAGATAGGCCTTGAAAAAAATATTTTTAAAAAATCCACGTTTATAGATAGGCCTTGAAAAAATATTTTTAAAAAATCCACGTTTATAGATAGGCCTTGAAAAAATATTTCTAAAAAATCCACGTTTATAGATAGGCCTTGAAAAAAGTATTTTTAAAAAATCCACGTTTATAGATAGGCCTTGAAAAAAATATTTTTAAAAAATCCACGTTTATAGATAGGCCTTGAAAAAATATTTTTAAAAAATTCACGTTTATAGATAGGCCTTGAAAAAATATTTCTAAAAAATCCACGTTTATAGATAGGCCTTGAAAAAATATTTTTAAAAAATCCACGTTTATAGATAGGCCTTGAAAAAATATTTTTTTAAAAGTCCACGTTTAAAGATAGGCCTTGAAAAAATATTTTTTAAAAATCCACGTTTATAGATAGGCCTTGAAAAAATATTTTTTAAAAATCCACGTTTAAAGATAGGCCTTGAAAAAATATTTTTATAAAATCCACGTTTATAGATAGGCGTTAAAAAAATATTTTTTTAAAAAAATCCACGTTTATTGATGGCCCTCGAAAAATATATTTAAAAAAATCCACAATAGTTATAGGCCCTTAAAAAATATTTTTAAAAAATTCACGATTGTTAAGGCTTGAAAAAAAAATATTTTTAAAAAATCTACGATTGATATAGGCCTTTGATAAATATTTAAAAAAAAAATTACGATTATTGTAGGATTTCAAAAAATATTTTATTGAAATCGACTCTTACCATAGGCATTGAAAAAATATTTGTAAATAATTCATAATTTGTATAGACCTTTGAACAATATTTTTAAAAATTTTACGCCTATTATAGATATTCGAAATATATATTTAAAAGCATTCACATTGATTATAGGCCTCAAAAATATTTTTAAAAAATCCTCGATTGTTAGATGTTTTCGAAAAATATTTTTTAAATATTCACGATTATTATAGGCCTAACAAAAATATTTTTAAAAAATCCACAATTGTTATAGACCTTAAGAAAATATTTTTAAAATATCCAGGTCTATTATAGACCTTCCAAAAAAATATTTTTAAAAAATCCAAGACTCTTGTAGAGCCAAAAAAAAATATTTTTAAAAATATTTAAAAAATCCACGATTATAACACTCAGCTGGGAGAACACTCCCACTATCATGCCTAGCTGAAATTAAAAATAACCCTTAAATACTCCAACGTATATAATATATTTTTATGAGATATTTAAATACAATGTATTTAACATTTTTGTAATTTACAAGACAAAGTAACAAGGAAAACATCAAAACCTCATTTGCTGTGAGAGGAAACAAATTAGAACACAATACCATTAGGATTGAAGTATGTGTATATCGAGACTCAGTCTTCAATTGAAATTCAGGTTTACATTCTCGTTGGTCCTGGAAAAAATTTGCACAAAGTCGGTGAATTTGGCATTGATAATTTTTGAAAAAAAATCCTTTAAAATTCAAATTTAATATTGTTGATAGTCCTCTAAAAGCGTCCTTTTCAAATTTATAGTAATAGTGTTGTTGGTCTGTAGAAAAAAAAGTCTATAAAAAATCCTACTTTTAACCTGAACGTTCCTTTGAAAAATGTTTTTAAAAAATTTCCTTAAAAAAATTCGTTAAAATTCCACATATTTGTCTGAACGGTCCTCGAAAAGAAATCCTTCAAAAATACGTGGTTATGGCCTTGTAAAAAAACCTTTAAAATCTAAGGATATAGCCTGAATGGTGCCTGGATGGTTCTTGAAAAAAAATTCTTTGAAAATATGTAGTTATGAAATGGAGAGTCCTCGAAAAAAATCCCTAAAAAATTCGTAGTTATGTTGGGATGGTCTATGAAAAAAATCACCTTTAAAAACTACTGTCATGGACCTTCAAAAATATTCTTACAAAATCAGCAATTATTATTGACCTTTAAAAATATGTTTAAAAAATCCACGACTGTTATAAACTTCAAAAAACATTTTAAAAAATCCACAACTATTATGGACCTTCAAAAATATTAAAAAAAAAACACGACAAAAATATTAAAAAATTAAAGACCTTCAAAAAATGTTTATAATAAAAACTCTCAAAAATTTTTTCTAAAAAATCCAATAAAATATGTTTAAAAAATTCACGTCTGTGATAGTTTTTCAAAAAAAACTTTTAAAAAATTCACGACTGTTATAGTTTTTAAAGAAAATATTTTTCAAAAATTCACGACTATTATATTCTTTCAAACAAAAAAAGTTTTTAAAACAATCGAATTATTTTAAAAATCCACGACTATTAGAGACCTTCAAAAAATGTTTTTAAAAAAATCCACGACCATTGTAAACCTTCCGAAATAATTTAAAAAATCCACGAGCAGTACAGATCTTCAACAATATTTTTAAAGATGTTCTTTTAGAGATGTTCAAAAAATATGTTTAAAAATACACGACTGTTGTAGACCTCCAAAAATATTAAAAAAAAATCCACGACTTCAAAATTTATTTTAAAAAATTATAGACCTACAAAGAATATTTTTAAAAAATTACAGAACTACAAAAAATATAGATCTACAAAGAATTAAAAATCCACGTCTATTGTAGACCTTTAAAAATATTTTTAGAAAATTCACGACTGTTATAAAATTTCAAAAAATATTTTAAAAAAATCCACGACTATGAAGACTTTCAAAAACTCCACTTTCAAATCCACGTCCATCGTAGACCTTCAAAAACATTTTTAATAAATCCACGACTATTATAGACTTTCACAAAAAAGTAAAAAGTCCACATCATTTCCAAATCTACCAAAATTATTTAAAAAAAAATTCGCAACTACTTTAAACATAAAAAATATATTTTTTAATAAATAGATAGACTTATAGACTTTAAAAAAATATTTTTTAAAAAATTCACTTTTAAAAAAAATCTTGCAAAAAATATTTTTAGAAAATCCACGCCTATTATAGACTTTAAAAAAATACTTTTTAAAAAAATCACTATTAAAAAAAATCTCGCAAAAAATATTTTTAAAAAATTCTTGCCTATTATGGACTTAAAAAATATTTTTAAAAAATACGCGACTATTATAAACCTTCAAAAAATATTTTTAAAAAATCCACGTCTATTATAGATCTTCAAAAAATATTTTTAAAAAATCCACGTCTATTATAGATCTTCAAAAAATATTTTTAAAAAATCCACGACTATTATAGATCTTCAAAAATATTTTTAAAAAATCCACGGCTATTATAGATCTTCAAAAAATATTTTTAAAAAATCCACGTCTATTATAGATCTTCAAAAAATATTTTTAAAAAATCCACGTCTATTATAGATCTTCAAAAAATATTTTTAAAAATTCCACGTCTATTACAGATCTTCAAAAAATATTTTTAAAAAATCCACGTCTATTACAAATCTTCAAAAAAATATTTTTAAAAAATCCACATCTATTACAAATCTTCAAAAAAATATTTTTAAAAAATCCACGTCTGTTATAGATCTTCAGAAAATATTTTTAAAAAATCCACGTCTGTTATAGATCTTCAAAAAATATTTTTAAAAAATCCACGTCTGTTATAGATCTTCAAAAAATATTTTTAAAAAATCCACGTCTGTTATAGATCTTCAAAAAATATTTTTAAAAAATCCACCTCTGTTATAGATCTTCAAAAAATATTTTTAAAAAATCCACGTCTGTTATAGATCTTCAAAAAATATTTTTAAAAAATCCACGTCTGTTATAGATCTTCAAAAAATATTTTTAAAAAATCCACCTCTGTTATAGATCTTCAAAAAATATTTTTAAAAAATCCACGTCTGTTATAGATCTTCAAAAAATATTTTTAAAAAATCCACGTCTGTTATAGATCTTCAAAAAATATTTTTAAAAAATCCACGACAGTTATAAGTCTTCAAAAAATATTTTAACAAAATCCACGACTATTGTAGATTAAAAAAAATATTTCAAAAAAAAAATCCACGACAATTAAAGTCCATAAAAATTATTTTTAAATTCTACGTTTATTAAAGACCAACAAAAATATTTTTAAAAAATTCACGACTATTGTAGATTTAAAAAAAAATATTTTAAAAAAATCTACAACTATTGTAGATTTAAAAAAATATTTTAAAAAATCCACGACTATTGTAGATTAAAATAAATATTTTAAAAAAATCCACGACTATTAAAGACCATAAAAATTATTTTTAAATTCCACGTTTATTTATTATTTTTTTTTTAAATCCACGACTATTATATACCTTCAAAAAAATATTTTTAAAAAATCCACGACTTCAAAATTTATTTTTTAAATATCCACGTCTATTACAGCCCTTCAAAAATATTATTAAAAAATCCGCGACTATTATAGACATTCAAAAAATACTTCTAAGAAATCCACGATTCTTAAAGGTCTTCAAAAATATTTTAATAAATCAAAGATTGTTATGTCTTCAAAATCTGCTTTTAAAATATCCAAGACTGTTATAAAAAAATATTTTTAAAAAATACTATTGTAGATTTAAAAAAAAATATTTTAAAAAAAATCCACTACTATTGTAGATTAGGAAAATATTTAAAAAAATCCACTACTATTGTTACAGGTCCACAAAAATGTTATTAAAAAAATCCAAGTCGTTTATAGACCTACAAAAATATTTTTAAAAAATTCACGTCTTTTGTAGACCTACAAATATATTTTTAAAAAAAATCCACTATTAATAAAAGCTTTCAAAATATATTTTTAAAAAATCAACGACTATTAACTTTTAAAAAATCAACAATCCCTAGTTATGGCATGGATGATCCTCGAAAAAAGCCTTTAAAAATCCGTATTTATGATCTGAATGTTCCTCGAAAAAAATCCTTTAAAATGCCGTAGCTATGGCTTGGAGGGTCCTTGAAAAAAGACCTCGAATGTCCTTGAATAAAACTCTACTTAAAATGTGTAGTTATTGACTGAGTGGTAAAAAAATTCCGTAAAAAAATAGAAATAGGACCTGAGCGGTCCTTGACAATATTTTATTTGCAAATTTCGCAGCCATTGTCCTCGTAAAAAATGCTTTTAAAATCCGCTAGCCTTAATAGCCTTGATGGACCTTGGAAAATCCTTGGGTATAGCCTAAATTGTCCTTGAAAACATTCCATAAAAAAAATATGCAGATGTGGCAAGAATTTCCAGGAAAAAATTCTTTTAAAATTTTTTAGATATTGCCGGGAAGGTCCTTATATAAAATTCTACTTAAAAATCCATATCTCTCTTAAATCTCTTTTAAAATCTGTAGTTATGTCAGGAATGATCCTTGAAAAAAACCATTAAAATCCATGTCTATAGCCGGCGTGGCCTTGGAAAAAATATCCTTTGAAAGTCTGTAGATATGGACTGTGTGGTCCTTGAAAAAAAAAAATCCGGACTTAAGGCCTCGAAAGTCCTTGAATAAAACTTTACATAAAATTTGTAATTGCGGTCTGGATGGTCTTTGAAAAAAACATATATTTTAAAATTTCCTAGTAACGGCTCAGATGGTCCTTGAAAAAAAAATATCTTTAAAAATCCATAGCAATGGCCTGGATGGCCCTTAAAATCCCTTTCTAAATTTCTAAATTTGTAATTAAGGCCTGGAAAGTCCTTGAATAAAACTCTACTTAAAATTTGTAATTATGGCTCGGATGGTCCTTGAAAAAACAAATCCTTTTAAAATTCCCTAGTTATGGCTCGGATGGTCCTTGAAAAAAATATTTTTAAAAATCCACGTTTATAGTCCTAACAGTCCTTGAAAAGAAAATCCTTTAGAATCCGCAGTTATGGTCTGAAAGGTCCTTGGAAAACAATTCTCTATAGCTCCGATGTTCCTTGAAAACAGTCCTTTTAAAATCCACGTTTATAGCCTGGATGGCCCTTGAAAAGAATTCCTTTAAAAATCCACGTTTATAGCCTGGATGGTCCTTGAAAAGAATTCCCATAAAAATCCACGTTTATAGCCTGGATGGTCCTTAAAAAGAATTCCTTTAAAAATCCACGTTTATAGCCTGGATGGTCCTTGAAAAGAATTCATTTAAAAATCCACGTTTATAGCCTGGATGGTCCTTGAAAAAAATCCCTACGAAAATCCACGTTTATAGCCTGGATAGCCCTTGGAAACAATTCCTTTAAAAATCCGTAGCTATGGCCAGAATGGTCCTTGGAAATAATTCCTTTAAAAAATCACGTTTATAGCCTGGATAGCCCTTGGAAACAATTCCTTTAAAAATCCGTAGCTATGGCCAGAATGGTCCTTGGAAATAATTCCTTTAAAAAATCACGGTTATAGCCTGAATGGTCCTTGAAAACAATTCCTTTAAAAATCCACGTTTATAGCCTGGATGGTCCTTGAAAAAATTCCTTTAAAAATCATCGTTTATAGCCTAGATGGCCTTGAAAAGAATTCCTTTAAAATCCACGTTTATAGTCTGGATGGTACTTGAAAAGAATTCCTTTAAAAATCCACGTTTATAGCCTGGATGGTCCTTGAAAACAATTCCTTTAAAAATCCACGTTTATAGCCTGGATGGTCCTTGAAAACAATTCCTTTAAAAATCCACGTTTATAGCCTGGATGGTCCTTGAAAAGAATTCCTTTAAAAATCCACGTTTATAGCCTGGATGGTCCTTGAAAAGAATTCCTTTAAAAATCCACGTTTATAGCCTGGATGGTCCTTGAAAAGAATTCCTTTAAAAATCCACGTTTATAGCCTGGATGGTCCTTGAAAAAAATTCCTTTAAAAATCCGTAGTTATGGCCTGGATGGTCCTTGAAAAGAATTCCTTTAAAAATCCACGTTTATAGCCTGGATGGTCCTTGAAAAGAATTCCTTTAAAAATCCACGTTTATAGCCTGGATGGTCCTTGAAAAGAATTCCTTTAAAAATCCGTAGTTATGGCCTGGATGGTCCTTGAAAAGAATTCCTTTAAAAATCCACGTTTATAGCCTGGATGGTCCTTGAAAAGAATTCCTTTAAAAATCCTCGTTTAAGCCTGGATTTTCCCGGGAAACAATTCCTTTAAAAATCCACGTTTATAGCCTGGATGGTCCTTGAAGACAATTCCTTTTAAAATCCACGTTTATAGCCTGGATGGTCCTTGAAAACAATTCCTTTAAAAATCCACGTTTATAGCCTGGATGGTCCTTGAAAACAATTCCTTTTAAAATCCACGTTTATAGCCTGGATGGTCCACGTTTATAGCCCGATGGTCCAAGTCTTCTTAAATGCTTAGAAGGTCCTTGAAGAAATTCCTTAGCAAATGTGGCCTGGATTGTCCTGGAAAATAAAATCCTTTTATAATCCGTAACTATGGCCTGAATAGTCTTCCAAAAAATTACATAAAAATTTACGATTATAGCCTTGAAAAAATTCCTATCAAAACCCCAATTTAAAGCCCAGCTAGACCTTCAAAAAAATTAAAAAATATTTTTTTTAATTTTCAAAATTTTATTTTGAATATTTTTTATTTATTTCAAATCTATGGATGTTTTCTTATGTAAACGATAAAATAACAATTCCGCAAAAAATACCACACTGCCCAGGACCTCTCCACCTACCACAATTATCCAGGCCCAAAACAAATCCTTCACCTCAAATGCCCGGGCCTCAGCCGACACGGGAGGGCTACTAATTGTGACTCTTTTGGTCCTTAGCATATCTCCAAAGGTATTGGCATACCAATAGGCCGGTAGACCCACTTCATGGACCCGATTAATGAGATGATCCAGGGGTTCCTTGTACTGCGAGTGTTTTTGCAGTTGCAGAGCACAGGGCATTCGAAAGAGGGTCATTTTCGGATAGACATTGAAAATGTTGTGGGAGAAATATTGCTGTTTGCGGCGCAGAACCTTCCAGGATAGGGAGACCAGGAAATATCCCATTGAGGTATTGAAATTGTTGCGATTCTCTTCGTAGAAGGCAATGCTGTCCGTGAGGAGTAGAGAATCCCTTATGGCATCCGCGGCATCCTCTATGGCCTCAATGTCGCTGGTGATGGCCAGAATCTTCAGGGAGGAATGTTTCAAATCTTCAAAGGATTGGATCTGGGCATGATTGGGTGGACTGGTGATCAGGGTATTCATGGTGGCCGAAAATTGGGTGCTAATATTCAGACCCGCCACAAAGACCAAAAAATACAACAGTTTCAGGCTACGCCATGGCGAATCCTTGGGCGTAAAGGATTGGCCCAAAATTCCCGAAAAGAACCGATAGTTTAGCACCAGATCCACGGCCTGGAAGCTGTGGTCCAAACAGTAGTCCACCAGACTCTGGAACAGGGCAAAGAGTAACGTACAAATGAGGACACATCCAAAGAAGTAACGATTCAGCAGAACCCCATAGACCTCGGTGGTGCTAAGCGCTTGGGCGGTGGGTATCATTACGAGGCCTTCCAGGAAATCATAGACCGCCGATTTATATAGCCATTTGCCATCGTTGTAATGTGACAGGGTCATGGGTATATCGATGAGATTATCCTCGGCCATTTGATTGACCTGAGTCAGGGAGGTACGGGCCGCCACCTCATGAGAGGCATACATCTGCATGTGGCCATGAAACACCTCACCGAACAGCAACACCAGCCGGGCAATATAGCCATTGAGACGAACCCCACCCTGACCATCTTCGTAGGGAAAGGACAGGGTCATGGTGGTATCGGTGAAATAAATCACCGTTTTATTCTCCAAATTCCGCCAATGTTGGGGGTAGTAGGGTGGACCCCTCCACTGGGACCATTGATAGCGGGGATAGGGTTTCAGCTGTTGGATGGTCTCATTTTTGGCCGCCACACCTTTCAGCAGGACATTTGTCATTTTATATAACTCACAGAGTTTTAAGAGCTCCAGCTGAAACCCCCGGTCCCCCTCCTCCACCAGCACCAATATCCTTGTTTGCCTCATAAAATTCAACACCTCCGCCCCAGTGGCCATTAACTGCTCCTTCAATTCGCCCTTGAATAGGAAAATCACAAAAATTTCCGAATTAAAGCTTCTGACAAATTCATATGCCGCTCCATATGTCACCAGGACCTTGGGTAATGGTATCTCCTGCACCACCTTCCACCACACTCGATTTACCTTGAAACTCTCTCGATCGGCAATGACCAACAACGTTTCAAACTCCTTCTCAGCATAGATTTGTTGTAGAAATATTTTCAAATCAAAATTTTCCAAATTTTCCACCTCCAAGGACACGGCCAGGACATGAATAAATAATACCGTTAATAGGGAAATTTCTATCTGACGCTGTTGCATTATGACGAACGATTGATTTCGTATTGATTGCAATCATTCTAAATATTTGGTGGGTTTTCGGATACGGATTTGAAAAATAATTAATTATGGAACGGCGGGGTGGAGGGAGTACAGGTAATTAATATGGCATTATGTGACCAGACGATTAATTATCGGAAGTCCATAAACTGAGACATAAACACGGGTAACGCCCCTGGGATGGCTGAAAGAAACGTAGAAGAGAGAGGGGGAAAAGAGGAAAAATTATTAAATCGCATTAAAGTAGAATTTTCAAAGGACGAAGGATAATTTTTAAAGGATTTTTCCAAAAAAAATAATAAAAATAAAAAATAAGGATTTTAAAATCATTTTTTCAAGGACCTTCCTGGTCATAAATATGGGTTCTTAAAGGATTTTTTTCAAGGACCATCCGGGCCATTACTGGGGATTTTTAGAGATTTTTTTAGAGACCATCCAAAAACGTGGATTTTTAAAGGATTTGTTTTCAGGGACCATCCAGGCTAAAGCTACGGATTTTTAAAGGAATTGTTTTCAAGGACCATCCAGGCCATGACTACGGCTTTTTAAAGGAATTGTTTTCAAGGACCATCCAGGCTATAAACGTGGATTTTTAAAGGAATTCTTTTCAAGGACCATCCATGCCATAACTACGGATTTTTTTTAAGGAATTCTTTTCTAGGACCGTCCAGGCCATAACTACGGATTTTTAAAGGAATTCTTTTCAAGGACCATTCAGGCCATAACTACGGATTTTTAAAGGAATTCTTTTCAAGGACCATTCAGGCCATAACTACGGATTTTTTAAGGAATTGTTTTTAAGGGCCATCCAGGCCATAACTACGGATTTTTAAAGGAATTCTTTTCTATGACCTTCCGGGCTATAAACGTGGATTTTTAAAGGAATTCTTTTCAAGGACCATCCATGCCATAACTACGGATTTTTTTAAGGAATTCTTTCTAGGACCGTCCAGGCCATAACTACGGATTTTTAAAGGAATTCTTTTCAAGGACCATTCAGGCCATAACTACGGATTTTTAAAGGAATTCTTTTCAAGGACCATTCAGGCCATAACTACGGATTTTTTAAGGAATTGTTTTTAAGGGCCATCCAGGCCATAACTACGGATTTTTAAAGGAATTCTTTTCTATGACCTTCCGGGCTATAAACGTGGATTTTTAAAGGAATTCTTTTCAAGGACCATCCAGGCCATAACTACGGATTTTTAAAAGAATTCTTTTCAAGGACGATCCATGCCATAACTACGGATTTTTTTAAGGAATTGTTT